CTCCCTCCTCCCTCCCTCCCTCCCTCGCTTCCCTCCCTCAACCCTCCCTCAATCCTTCCTCCCTCCCTCCCTCCCACCCCGGGCCCCGCTCCTGCAGACGACCCCCCCAGCGCCAGCCACCGCGTGCGGCTGCTCACCGCGCAGGCCAGCGTGGGCATGGTGCTGGGCAAGCGGGGCGCCACCGTCAGCCAGCTGCGGCAGGAGACGGGGGCTGCCATCAAGGTGCTGAACGCCGACCTGGTGCCTCCCGCGTATGGCGGCGGGCTGGGCAGTGACGATTCCGAGGCGGAGCTCGGAAGCATCAGCAGCGGCGGCGGCGGCAGCAGCGGCGGCGGCGTGGCCAGCGGCGCCGGCACCGCCTCCAGCGGCATGAGCGGCGGCGGCGAGGAGGTGGTGCAGGTGGAGGGCAGCCTGCAGCAGTGCGTGGCGGCGCTGCGCGGCGTGGCCACGCTGCTGCGCGGCTGGCAGGTGCGCCGCCTGCTCGCGCACCACCACCACGCCGCGTTTGGCGGCGGCATGGCGGCGGGCGCGGCGGCGGCCGCGCTGCAGCAGCAGGCGGCGCTGGCGCAGCAGCCGCTGTCGCCCACGGCGGGCGGTATGCTGTCCCCGAGCTCTCCGGGCATGCTGGGCCTGCACCTGCCCAGCAGCCTGGGCTCCCTGGGCTCTCCGGTGCAGCCGCCCTTCCTGCTGATGAACGGCCACCTCGGCGGGCAGCAGCAGCAGGCGGGCATGCTGCCGCCGGACGCGCTGGCGGGGCCGCCGCCGGGCGGCCACCTGTCGCAGCAGGCGCAGCGTGGCGCCACCTACGTCTACCACCTCAGCAACGCGCAGGTCGGGGCGGTGCTGGGCAAGGGCGGCGCCCATATCGCACAGATACGCAGCATGAGCGGCGCGAGGGTGCAGCTACAGGGGGTGAGCCGCCGCGCCGCCGCCGTGCAGCGCAGCACGCGCCCCGCCCGCCGCCCCCTGCTCCGCTCTGCTCCGCTCTGCGGCCGCGGCTGCGCTTCCTGTGGCTGCTGCTCGCATGCATGCGCTCGCATTTATTCTACCCCCCGCGAGGCTCTGTCGCCTGCTGCCTCGTGCTGGGGTTTGGTCGGCCCAACCCGGCTCGCTCTGCCGCTGCTCTTTGGCCGCAGGAGGGCGAAGGAGGCGGCCGCGTGCTCATGGTGGCCGGCCAGCCCGAGCAGTGCCATGCGGCACACACCATGGCTAACGCTTTCCTCAGTGAGCGGCGGCGCCAGTCTCCTCTTGCGCTGCCCAGCCCGCGCTGCGCATGCCGCCTGGGGGCCGGCGGCCTCTGCCGCGTGCCAAGCCAGCACCGGTGCCGTGCTTGGCCTGAGTTGTTTGTTGGGTTTGGCAGTGGAAGCGTCAAACGCCCTAGCCACCCCTCACCCCCGGCTGCTGGCCTCTCCTGCGTGCTGCCTGCAGGCATGGGGCGGTGTGAGCCAGCTTTCCCTGAGCCCATCCTGGGCGGATGAGCCCAGGGTGCTGGCTGCACGCCACCCGAGCGCGTCACCGCCCCCCGGGCCGGCGGCGCGCATGCCAGTGAGCCACATAGCTGCACTTGTTTCCCTCTCGCTCCCCTTTTCCCTGCAAAGCGCGGCGGCGGCCTGGCGGCCCGCCGCCCCTGGCCCCCTGCCCCCCTGCGGCTTGTTTCCCTTATTGCTCCCCGCTTTTTTCCCGCCTCGCCCTGTGCTTGGGCCCCTTCCGCTGCTCCAGGAATTGTTTCGCACTTTTTCTCCCTGCTCCCACCTGTTGCCTGCCTCTGAGCTCGATGCTGCTGCTCCCGCCTCTGATGCTCCCCACTGCGGCTACCCATCGCTGCTGCAAGAAGCACTGTCGCCGCTGATGCACTCCCCCGGCACTGACCCGGCTTTTGGAACCAGCGGGCTGGGGCTCCCAAGCCCCCTCCCCTCTCCTGGCCCCTCTTCCTACCCCCACACGTGTGCTGCACGGCCGTGCCCCACAGGCCCCC